AATTAATTTAGAAAAATTAAGAAAGTTACTAAAGTACTTTAAAGTATTTATATTTATCTTTTTTTAAACTAATTTGCCTTACTTATAAATTGATATATAATCTAATGATGCATATAAATATTTTAGACAAATCATGTAACATATGCTATAATTAAGTAATTTAGTAATTTTTTTTGTCTTCCTAAATTAGTCAACTAGGTCTTACATTAAAAACAGGAAGCAGTAACAATTTTTACAAAAAAAAAAAAAGGATGATAATTGATCATATGAATAATAAGAAAACTGCAAAATAGAGACCAGAATATACTACTCCAAGTATTAGCACCTGCCAGAATCAAACAAAGAAGCAATGGATGACCCTTATGAACAGAGGACGCTCCCAATATGCTCAACTATCAAACAATAAAAGCAATGGATTAAGGTTGCCTAAAAAATTCAAATTGGGTTTCCTCATCAAGTTCCAACTCCGGTCCTAATTATAAGAGCCAGTTGACTAATTTAAGGAGATTAAGGAAGTAAGTTGAGTTAGTTATTTGTCTTAAATAGGTGTTGTCTTTTCTAAAATATCCTTGTTAATCAAGTGTATTGACTAAAACTATCATTGTTAGAAAGACTATTTTGAAAAATATATATAAATATGAAAGACAAAGTAAATTGGGGTCTTATATGTAGGACCAAAATAAAAGTCAAATAGGGTCTTATATTAAGGACCAGATGTAGTATTAGTCAAAAACCATATGAGCATAAGACCAAAGAAGGAACAAATTGTTGATCTTTGGCAGCTTGGGATCTTGAAAATCTTCAAACCCAAAACTAACTACAAGATCATCCTTTTTCCGAACTACTTCTCAACCACACCCATCTTTAAAATCAATACCCTCTTCACCTTTAAATTTTTTGTGAATATGTTGCTCGCAGTTCTGTCACAACCTCCTCCTCAATCTGGCATCACTTCAAGGAAGAAACTTCGAAAGGAGAATCAAACACCATGTCAACCATTTTAGAATCACTAAATCCATACCTTGTCCTTGTTCAAAATTTTCTCAAAGCTACCTTCTATTATTTGTTTTTATTTTCTCACTAAATTTTTCCATCCTTTATTTTTGTAAGTCACTTGAAATTGAAGAGTAATTATTGTTTTTCTGGCAAAAAAAAAAAAGAAAAAGAAGAGGAATTATTGCTTATTGATCAATTTTGTCCCTCCAATACATGTTTAAATGTAAGCTAAAATGAGGTATAGTGTGCATTAGAGGAAGTAGCTAAAATTGGCCTTTTGGATTAGAAAAGTCACTGTTGATTAATGTCTTCAGCTTATAAGCACACCACCCTTATTGGTTCTTCTTCCCATGCTTAATCTTGGGCATTAATTTTGTAGCTAAAGCAATATTATTTGATATCAATCTCTCTTGAAGAAATCCATTTGGAAAAGGAGCCAATGATCTCCTTCCAAATTACCCCCCCGGTAGTCAAAAAGCTAATTGATCTAAAATCCATTGATGGCCCCATCAATGTATTATCCTTCCCATCATTTTTTCATCCCCCACATCATGATTCCTTTACATATTATATTATGATATTTTATCCAATTTTAGACGTAAGAGTTATATAATTAATTCATATAAAATAAAAAATTAATTAAATTAAATATCTGTAAATGCATATTGCTTTTTCTAAAAGCGTAATATTTAGGTTAAATTGCTTATACCTATTATATAAAGTTTTCTAGTTACATATGGCCATGTATTCTATTTTTCAAACGTTAGCATTTAATATCATTTAATTATAAACCTATCTAGAAAAAAAATAGAACACGAGTTTATATGTACCACTCTGGTTCTTCTTAATTGTCACTTATAGAAAGGAATTTTATTTCTTTTTTATTTGTCCCTTGTATCCTTTTTAATACCTGATTTCCAATTCCGCCCCTATTAATTACGGAAGACAAATACAAAGGTGACGAAAGGGGAAATGCATGAGAAAAAAAATATGCAAGTTACTCTTTCGCTTCTAAATATAAGACTCTTATAGTATAATGGTTTTATATTTAGGACTGGAGGAGTATTTAATAAGGTTAAAAGTCGAAGATTTTATGTATTTAGTGATCTTCCTGGTATGTAAGAAACTACTACAAGTGACAATTAAAAAAGACTAGAGTGATAATTGAAGAACTTGATATAATAAATATAAACAATTTGACAAAAGTATTTTTCTTTCCAAAATATTCCTTAAAGTTGTTTGCATTGTAACTTACTATTGTTCCGGTAGGTCCTTTTAATATATGCAAACAATTAAAATAGTTTAGAAAAAAATTATAATTTCTACGCATATAATTTTAAATTTTTTAAAATCATAATCTAAATATTTTTAGTTATGTAAGCTTATCTATTTAGTAATTTTTTAAAATTTAAATATACAGGTTTTTTTGGCCAAAAAAGTTATTTTATTAATATCAAAAAAATCAATACAATCACTAATAGCCAAGAGGCCAAAGAAACACTCAAAATTTAAATATATAGGTTGAGTAACATAATATTTCAAACTCTTATGCACAAAAGAACTTAAGAAATTAGCAATTTAATATAACACAGGATAATTTAGTTAACATAATTTATATTCATTAATTTAATTAACATAATTTATATTTATTTTACTTTAAATTTTATCAAATTCAGTATAATTTATTTTTATTAATTTTATTATTTATATATTATAAAAAATTATGTAGAGCATATAATAATAAATGCATAAGAAATAAAGTGTTAAATAGATATTGTCCATCTCTGGTAAAAAAAAAGAAAGATATTGTCCATATTTTTTTCACCTTTATAACATAGTAAATCTTTGAAAGAAAAAGTAAATTTTCGACATTTTGTACCAAATGACTAATAGATATAATTTTATCCCATAATTAACTAATTTTCTCCAGTCAAAACAAAATTATCTTATTTACATATCTTAATATTGAAAACTGGATTCTAAATTTGAATTCTGATTGTCTATATGTTTTGAAAAATTATTTTGGTTTAAAAATTTCAAAATAATTAAAAATATCATATCATATTCCTAAACTTGCTATAGGATGAAACACCTTCAATTCTCAACTTTCAAGGAATCCTCTCCCTCCGCTACCTTCATCTGACATTTCTTCTTATGCTTGATTTTAAGGATATATATATTTTTTATTCTTTTGTTTTAGGGAAAATCCCAAAAAAAGTCCTTGGAATATGGGAAATGCCAGATTGGGTCCTTAAATTTCGAAAATGACAGAATAGGCCATTGACCCAATCTGTCATTTGTGAAATTCAGGCGAATTGACAATTTTGCCCTCATTTATTCATTCACTACAATGATTCAAGGAATCACTATAAGAGTTTAGGTGTTACTTAGATTTGTGTAGCGAATAACTACTCACTTTTTCATAGTCAGGTGTCTTGTTATTAACTACAACTAATTCTGTAATCACTAGAACAATGTAAGCATTACCTAGATTTGTGTAGAGAATAACTATTCATTTTTTCATAGTCAGGTATCTTATTATTGTCAGGTACCTTATTATTAACTACAACGAATCTTGTAATCACTAGAATAGTATAAGTGTTACCTAGATTTGTTTAGAGAATAACTACTCACTTTTGCTCAGGGGCAAAAATGTCAATTCGCCTGAATTTCACAAATGACAAATTGGGTCAATGACCCATTCTGTCATTTTCGAAATTTAAGGACCCAATCTGAAATTTAGTATATTCTAAGGGCTTTTTCTGGGATTTTCCCTTTGTTTTATGTGTTTTCCTGTCTTGTGCTTGATTTTAAAATATTCTTATTATCTATTTTACATCTTTTCATTTTAACAATTCTGAAATCGGAAAAAAATAAAAAAGAATATGTATTATAATATAAATAATAAATAGAAATATCATTAATAAAAAAATTCAAATAAATAAACAAAAACAAAAGAAACTCCCTCTTGTAAATTCAAAACATAAATAAAATACCAAAACTTCATCAGAGGAGAAGGTTTTAGCTTTCTTCTCCCTCGGAAAACCCATTTTGTTTTCTGCGAATCTCTTTTCCACTGGTATGAATGGGCTCTCTGATTCTTTCACTTTTTCTCTGCTTTTCATCCTCATTCGCTTGTCATTCTCTCTATGTTTTTTTTTTTTCCCACTTTGCGTCTTTTATACTTTCAATTTAGTAATTGAAAAGGTCCTAATCAACCCATCACAGAATTTTTGAGATAGTTAGGTATTCAAATAAAAAATTCAATTAATTATCTATATTAATTAAAATTCAAATTCAAAAATAAAAGAAAAAATAAAAAAATGATTGTTGAATTTCAAAATTCCAAATAAGGAATTAGTACAATAATGTATTGTGATTTACTTTTTAAATGTAATCATTTTCTTTACAAGTGTAGTAACTGATTTGAAATTTTAGAATTTAATAGTCATTTTTTAATAAAATTTTTCCAAAATAAAATTAGTTTTTATCTAATTTTATTGCCATTGCCAAAATAAGCTTCAACTGTCCAGCCCCTCTCGATAAGATCTGGGGCGGGGTGCAAAATGGGACTGAGACGGGTCAGGACTTGAGATTATCCACAGGATGTCCCACCATGAGTTTTCTATTTTTATTGCATTTTTTTGGGTTAAAATGGGTTTTGAGGTATTCAGTATCTTAATATATTTTGTGATACATTTAATATTTTAGAATATTTTATGAGATATTTAGTCTTTTAAAATATTTTTTTAGATATGTTTAGCATTCTAAATTATATTTTGATATATGTTAAAATATTTTTCAGATACCTCTATTATCCTAAAATATTAGTAAGTGTAAAATTGTATTAAAAAATTAATTTTTATTTCCAATCAGGGTTTTGTTAGACAGGGAGAGAAAAATTTTTCCTTCCATCCTGACAAAATTGCCTATAGCTTTTTTTCGGTATTCCAGTGTTGCCCTTTTAACCTGCAAACCCTTCTCGTTTCTCCTCTTGGGGGTTCAGCTACTCTTCTTCCCGCATCGGTGACTGTCGCCTCTCCTCCTCCAGTCGTCGTCGACGCCACCTGATCCTGCAGCCGCAGCGCCAGCCGCCTCTCTTCCTCTGCCCATCTTCATTGTTGTCAGGTGAGTATCTCTCCTAGATCATGTTGATTTTTATGTTCTTCATCCTTGTTCTTGCTCATATATGTCTCAATTATGTGGTTTCAAGCTTCTGGTTTTATTCCTTTTCTTATTTGATTCAGATTTCCTGTTTCTTCTTTGTTTTAAGTTTCCCTCACAATTAGTCGGACTTCAAATTTTCTGACTTGCACCATGGGATAAACCAAGAAGCGTCGAAGTTATTACATAAAAGTACATTATAAGTTGAAGTCTGACTAAACAAAACCAAAAAGCTGAAGTTCATAAATGCAATACTTAAGTTGGGAATATCGATGTGAACTTTAAAGGAGACTAAGTTGAAAATTGAAATAGCTTTTTGCTTAAGACGTCCTTGATTGAGTTCCATATGACAGTTTCATTCCATAATGAGCCAACCCCGACATCTGCACCATGAGGAATGCATTATAGTATATATAATGAATGTTGATTCTGCCTATGTAGCTGCAGCCTTTGGTAAATATGGCTTCCCTGTTCCGGGGGACCATCCAAAGTAATTGTTTTTGCGTTGGAATCTCGTGGCTTTCTATTTGGTCTACTTTGTTCCTTGTCTAATTTGATATTTATGCTCAATCATTTTTGAGAACGTACTGTGAAGCTGTATGGCATGTTTGAAGGTTCAAATCAAGGATACCGTTGTATTATGAGTACTATTGAGGTTGTATTATGAGTACTATTGAGGTCCCAATCTAATTGCTGGAGGCGCTGCATGTTTTACTCTTACAATCAACTAATCTTGAACAGTTGCTTTTTCTCTGTGTTTACTGTTTAGTTGACTTCATGATTACATGGGACATCGATTGATTGATTTGTATTACCAGTTCTATGGTGATCTTCATTTTCATTAGACTGATTGCTTGTGACTTTTGGTGAAGTTTGATGTGCAACCTTATGTACACAGTTTATACTCCTCACTCTTGTTGTTTAAATTATTAACTTAGAAGGGATTGGCCCATGGCTCTGAAGTTCATATCATGGCATTCTCCTTGCAATTAAGGTTTTGAAGGGAGTTGTTTCCCCATCGATTGTGTAACTTCTTACAAAATTTACACTTTGATAAGACCTTCTTATACACAAACTTACAATAAGACTAAAAGTCAAAAATGAACAAGGGAACACTTGAGATTGATAATGGTTTTACTGAATAACACGGGAATAGATGACCTTTGCACACTGATACAAAAGCTATACAAGCTACAATGGAAGTGACGATTACAAGCTAACAAGGAACAGAACAAGATACAACACAATGGACTGATAGACTTGTCAAACTTTCAAGAGGTTGGCTCTCTCCACCCCGAGGGCCAAGATCACAGTTCAAATTCTCCACACCCCCCGCTGAACCCCAAAGAGATGGTTTATAGACCTGACAAGTGAGTTTCACCACTCCCAACTCATGGACCTTGACTATAGCAGTCCTATAGCTACCCTACTCCCTATTTCTTTCTTCAGAATAGCAAGTCCAGCTTCTGCACAACAAAAAGTAATTTTCCCTTTTTATGCATCTTCCTAAACGTGATCCTATCACACTTTCAGTGACCTACAGTTTTGTATTTTTAATGTGCAAACTGCAACTTACCGGTAGAGAACTTTCTTAGAGTTCATAGTCTTGTGGCACTCCAACTCCAATGTTGTTTTGGTCATCATTGTCTAAAATGGAGGCTTAACTATTATTTCCTAATGCATGGAGGATCTTGTATTGTGGTTAATGTCTTGTCTCTTTTTATCCAACTTAATTTTCTAATTTTATCATATTTTAGAGAGGTAGAGGATTTTTAATAGGTATATTAAAGTTAATGAGATATTACATTATTAATAAAATCATCATTTAAAATGCATAGAGAAATAATCTATGATATATGAGTAAGGTAACAAGTTTTTGAAAATTGACTAATTAATAAAAGTAATAAGCATATAAAAATAAAAGAAGGGTAAAGTTGTTCATATCAAAATCTCTCCCCTGCCTTCCTGAACCAAACAAGATAACAATGAAACACCTCCCCTCTCTTCCCAAACACAACTTTAGAGCTTTCACTTTTCATTCACTCCGCATATTGCGGCTGCTTTCAGTCTGGTTGCCTCTGGCTTTCAGGTTTCAGTGCTTCTCCTTCTCCTTTCCCACTGCTCAACTCCAACTGGAAAATCTTGTAAAAGCTTCACCAACTATCTGTGTTGCATGCTATCAGTATTCTTCTTCTTTGAGTTTGTGTTTCTGGTGCTTCTCCTCTACCTCTCTGGGTGCGTATCTTGGTGTGTTTTTCATATCTAAAGGTTTCCCCCTTAGCTGTAGACTGATTTTTCTGAATTAAAATCTGGTAATTGCCTCGTGTCTCTCAATCAATCAACCTTTCTGGCCCAGTTGTGATTCTGATCGGTTCATGGGTTAATTTATGGTTTTTGAATGATAAATGTTTTAGATGAATTTGCTCCAGCCTTCTTGTTCATGGATTTATATTAGCAGTATCTTAAATGCAATACTTGGCAATGAATTTGTTTCAGGTTCATCTGAAAATTTGATCCCTTTTTTTTTACCCTCCTGAGGAGTAGCAAGTTGGGGGGACGGGACGAATGGTGTTGGACAGGATGCAGGACGCAATTGCTGTCCTGTCATTTCCAGGATGCAGGATGGGGTGTCCTGGTCCCTTTCCATCCCGTGCCTACCCCTACTTGTGTTAGAGGATTTTCTGGTTCTGCTAATCTGCACAGTTTTAGTCTCTTTGGGTTAATACAGTCCCATGCTAAACTAATTAGATATTTTGAGGTTTTGTTTTTTCAAAATATTGCAATTTATGCCGTAGTTTCATTCTGGTCACATACAAGCTAAACATTTATAGATGAATTTATGTTTACAGCTTGAAGGCCTAGTAAAGCAATCTTACTAATTGTTAAGGAGTAAGACGAGAGATAATGAAGCTTGATGTGGATGTATTGAGATATCTCTCCAAAGATGATTTTAGGGTTCTCACTGCCGTCGAGATGGGAATGAGGAATGTATGTATCTCTCTCTTATTATACATTTTTTATGATTTAGGTGGTATATAGTGATTGTGTGTATATCCATGGAAAAAGATAGAGAGTGAAGTTGGTTTATCATTGTTTTTGTCACTTGCTTTGAGCTCATTGAAACTCTTCTTTGCAGCATGAGATTGTACCTACTGAACTCATTGACCGCATAGCACGTCTCAAGTATGTTTTAAGGGCCTTTTGAGTAACCAATTTTTTTGCTTTATCATCTGAAGCTTTACTTCTGGCATTATTAAATGGTCTTCCAACTATTGTGTAGGCGTGGAGGCACTTACAAGGTTTTGAAGAACTTGCTCAAGAATAAATTGTTGCACCATGACTCTTCTAAATGTTTGTAACCTCTAATCTGTATTACATAGCGTATTCAAGTTCACATTCAAGACTCCTTCTAATTGAAACTTACCTTGATGCAGATGATGGCTTCCGCCTTACTTACCTTGGCTATGATTTTCTTGCCATTAAAACTATGGTGAACAAGGGAGTGTTTCAAGCTGTTGGTCGTCAGATAGGTGTTGGAAAGGAGTCTGGTACAATTCTGTTTCTTGCTTATAAAGACGCTAATCATTGACTGAAAAGCTTAAATTTTAACTGCTAAACCTTAACCCTCTCTGCTGTCACATCAGACTTTCATTTGTTAAATAATGTAGTTGTCCTCTGCTAGATATCTTTGAGGTTGCCTGTGAAGATGGAACAATTCTAGCAATGAAGTTGCATAGGCTTGGCAGAGTTTCGTTTAGAGCTGTCAAATCAAAGCGTGACTACCTAAGGCATCGTAGTAGTTATAACTGGCTATATTTGTCTAGGCTTGCTGCCCTTAAAGAATTTGCATTCATGAAGGTTCTTCTCTATCATTTGTTCCTTTTAAATTTATAAGGTGGTTATCTTCATAGTTGATTCTCATGACTTATGCTTTGCTTGAGCAGTCTTTGGAAGAGCATGGTTTTCCTGTTCCTAAAGCTGTAGAGTGGAACAGACACTGTGTAGTCATGTCACTGGTCCAAGGTTACCCTCTGTGAGTGTCCTCTTTTGTTGACTACCATTTACATTCATATCGAACTTGCACAATCACAATTTTATTTCTAAATGATAATTGTAGTCACTTTTCTTCTATTGAAGCCTGTAACGATTGATTATTGTAGTCAATTAATTTTCTTCTATTGAAGTTTGTAACGATTGAAGTGTTAGAGAATTCCATTATGATTAGCTTTTGTCACAGTTGATTTACTATTTTGATAAAAAATGTACTAGTTGTGTTATTATGATATTTAATTATTGTAGCTGTAGATTATTGACTTACAAGTTATAGTAACTTTTACAACGGTTTGAGTGTTGTGAACTTTGAATATTCATTGCATTCACATAAATGTAAAAAGTGTTAAGAACATGTTGCATTCTCAAATGCACTGTTTGTCACTAGTTTTCATTATATTTTGTAGTTTCTCATGCCAACTGTCCTAAATTTGATTGTTTTCTTCATTTGCCTGTTGTTGTTTATGGGGCTCACACTTTTAATTCCCACTGCCCCCCTTGTTTTGGTTCCTTTTTTGTTTGAATTGGTAGAGCTTGGAGGGGATTGATTATGGCATCAATGTAGAGAATTGTGCTCTTAGACAACTGTAAATGGTGGATATGGCATTTGAATTTGTGACTGCAGGGTTCAGGTGAAGCAATTGCAAAATCCAGAGATGGTTTTTGAGACAATTCTTAATCAAGTTGTTCGGCTGGCAGAGCATGGTCTCATTCATTGTGATTTCAATGAATTTAACATCATGGTATGGTTGGCTTTATTCTGGTTCTTTGTCTTTGGACCAGTTTTGTGCCGACTTCTTGACGTAATTTGTCCAATGGAGTACTACTTGTTATTTTATCTAATAATTATTAGCTTCAGCTTTTTGTTGACTCTAACTTCAATTTATTGCAGATTGATGATGATGAAAAAGTTACGATGATTGATTTTCCACAAATGGTATCTGTATCACACCGTAATGCACAGATGTATGAACTTTTGCCTTATTTTTTATGGTGTTTCCTTCCTTTCCATGCTTATATAAATGATATTGATGAAATCACATGCCTGAGTAGGAGCTGGCTATTCCTTGATTAGGAGCATATGAAATAGATCACTATAAAGATAATTACAGTTATCTTTTGTTTTAATATGGTAGTAAACATGGGAAAGGCCAAATTTTATTATTCTTGTTAAGATCATCTAAGATATATGCTGTCTGCAGCCTTAGTGCCTCACTGCATATTATTTGATGTACTGCAGGTACTTTGACCGTGATGTTGAATGCATCTTTAAGTTCTTCAGAAAGAGGTCTGTTAGCAACATGGTGCCCATTATTTGTGAACTTGGTTGTGAGATACTGAGATAGTTTTATGCTTGATTGATCTTTCCTTTTTGATGATTACAACTACGCTATAGGTGGTGTGAGCCAGATTTGAACAATGACATGAACTGTGATGTACATGATCAATTTTGGGTTTTGGTTGTAGTCATTGATAAAGTATTTTAAGAGCTGCCTTATAAATGAATAACTTCATGAGAACTGAAAATCTTCTTTAAGTGTTGTACGATATTGATAGTGTTTGATGTGTTGGATAGAACGACTCCTTCTGTAAAATATCACATCTGTGCTTGTAGATAATTTTTACTTGATCCAAGTCTCTTCTTCTCTGGCTATGTTTTCCACTGTTACCTATAGAGTCAAGTGTTTTTCTGATGCAGATGCTTCTTCGTTAATTGATTTGATTGGCTAATGTCAAGTAGGGCTTTTAATTTGGGAGCTATGGTTAACCTTTATTTTGGCTTGTTTTGATACTATTTATTTGTATTCTAATTAAGCATGAGTGATTTTGTTCTGTTGAAGTTTTGCACCCTATATATTTATGCTTAGAACATTCTAGGTATGGATTTGGCTTTGTTGCCTTGTTGCATTAGTGATATCTCTGCTTTTGTACAATCTCCTTTAGCTTTGCATTATTTTCTTTTCATTCATTGTTAGTACATGGCATTTTGCATGACGTCTCTTGTTTAATGGAACAGTTGATGTGATATATTTTTGGCCTTACGCCTGTTGGAATTTATTAGATCCAAATTAATGGCTATGTACCAATTTACCTCAATGGTTTTCCTCCCACTTCTGCGCTTCAGGTTCAATCTTTCTTTTCAAGAAAGCACAGATGATAATGAGGGTCCTGATGAAGATGGAAGACCTTGCTTTTCTGCTATTGACAAAAGCTCTGGTTTTCTAGATAAAGAACTTGCTGCTAGTGGCTTCACCAAAAAGGATGATAATGACCTTGAGAGGGTATGATAATATCTTTTCCTCCTGGGGAGGGGTTGGAAAAGGGGTTGGAAAAGATGGAGACCACTTCATTTTAAATGCTAGATACTTCTGTTTTTCTCTCCCTTCTCTTTTAACTCGGTAATGACATGAAAAATTTATTTGATAAAGCATGGTATTCAACAAAGGGCTTACAATAGGTAGACTGCAAATTTTCATCTTGCATCCTGTCTCATAGCTTTTAAACTTTATGTGCAGTTCATTGAAGGCGAAGAAGAGATGGCTACCCATTCAGATGATGTAGTTGAGTTGGCAGAGGACATGAGAGAGACAAATGTCATAGGTGATGATTCTTTACAACTGGAGCAGGTAATATCACCATTAGCTTTTGTTGCTGTAAAGGAGATTTGAGTGATGTGCCTACTGTCTGCTATGTCAAGTAAATACGTATATGGCTTTGCTACATTTGGAATTAGTTTCTCTCTATTTTCCATTTGTGTTTGGTAGCATTTTAAGACAACAGAAGTGGCCACTGCTAATCCCTCTTTTATCAAGTAATGTCTCTCTCGTTGCTAAAAGTTGAGGACAAAAAGTACTTAGGTTTTAAGAGCAACTAAGTACTTTTAGAGGGAATGTCTTTTAGACACACTGAACTGTGACCAAGATATAGGAGGGATGTGGGTATGGCAGGTGGCTTGGATATTCCTTTAAAATTTGTGTACAGTTTTACTTTAGATTGTCATGGCCATCTACTCTTAGCTTATCATTGTCGTGAACTGGTTAACTGTATCATCTTATTTGATAACTCTGCTATCTTGCGTGAAGTTTCTTATGTAGATTTTACAGATTTAGACTATGTTTTCATCAGGATGAGAGAAATGGAAGTAAGAACGAAGAGGAAAACTCTGAAGCAGCTGAAAGCAGTGATTCTGAGAAGCCAGATGCAAGTGATGGGGTATGGAAACTTCCTTTGCTTCGTCAAATTCCTTTTTATCATTTACGGTTTAGTTCTTGCAAATATTTACTTATATTAATATTTGTTCCTTAAAATTCTTCATTTGAACATTTTAAAGTTTCAGACAATTCAATCCAGAACTGCATCACTTCCAGTTCTGGCCAGTCCAGATTTTGTGACATCGCTTTTCGTTGGACTATAACCTGACAATCCACAATTATCTTTTTGATTTACAGGAGGAAAACGATGAAAATATGACGCAAAATGATGCTGAACTCACAAAGCGTTTGAATAAGCAGAGACGACGGGCCATAGCATCAGCTCGCAAGGGACAGAAGTCTTTTGCATCAAGGAATTGCTACAAAGCCAAGGGTAGTAAGTCTGCTCACAATTCTAAAATACAGAAGCAATTAAGTGGCTGGTGAAGTGTAAGAATCCTTCGGTTCCACTAATGTTTATGAAACTTAAACATAGGCGACCTGTTTAGAGTTGGGAGATGGTAAAGCAGATAGGATATTGTCAAGTCAATATAGTTGAGTGTATTTTTAACCCCTTCTTTTTTATTTTCGGTTAGATCAGGTGGGCTTGAATTTGAGTTACACTTCTAATATGTGAGATAGTCGAAGTTTGAGTCCCTTGCTATATATAGTTTTGGATGAAATAGGATTGTATCCAGGACTGTTTCTATACTGGATGAAATTTGTCTTGGTGGAAAATTTTGCTTATTTAACCACGATTTTTCAAGAATGGTTCACTATTCTTCATGAATAGTTAGGGAGTCGGATTTCAGTTTTGAAAAGCCACTCCATGTAAGTGGGTTAAGCTAAGGATGCTAAAACGCCTTGATGTGTAACCTTTTAGTGTTTTTTTAGATGTATCAAATTGCTATATTAAATCAGTTAAACTAAATCTATGGTTTAATTGTTCATTCGGAATTGAATGGAAAACAATACATACATACATATATATATTGAAGAATATTTAGTGTCAGATTTGGCTTTTTATCTTAACCGATCATTGGTTTGTTATAAATGCTTTGTCCTGGGAATCCTATTTATTAAATTCTTGCTGCTTTTCACTGCTACACATCTGCGTTTTATACCCTTTGGCTTTCAAGAAGACAACCCCCATCCAAAACAAAGAAACAATACTAAAACAGCGGATGGAGGGCTAAATTCATTGGCAATGGATAGAGGGATTGCAAACAATATATATATATACACAGAAAAAAGAGAGGGGGGGGGGTGCGGTGTCAATGTATAAAGAATAACGAGAGATGAAAATTTGTACCCAGATTTTTGTCTATTTCTTGTATCTTTTTGGGACATCATGTATCTTTCAAAATGTATAGGTACTTTAGATTAATAGTTTTTTAAACACAGATTTAAACCAATGGTGAAGAATCAGGATTGAAAACTATTTTCTAGTCTGGGAAGAGGTGAACCATTCATGTGGAGCCACACACGAGATGATCTACTACGTCAGTAAAATTGATGGTTAAACCCTCTCAAACTGGTCGATTTTTTAATTTTTATTATTTTTAATTTAAATCATATTACTGCCTCTGTGACCCGGTTGATTAATTTGAAATGATTAAGAAAATTATTAAATTATTTAATTATAGCATTTATTACATGATCTTTCTAACATATTTATTTGTGTTATTATATATGAATTTACAAGTGATGCAAATTATTTTGAAAAAAATAATAAATATAAATAGTTTAAATTAATTTAGTAACTTTCTTAATTTCTCTAAATTAGTCAAATGAGTTTTATATTAATGGGAGTATCAAATTCTTTTTCTTCTTTTTTTGGTAGAGTATCAAATTCTAAATTATGCACTCTATACACAAGATACAGTAATAAGCAAATGGGTAAGGAACATGCCGGAGTATACATGCATATTATAAAAATATATTATAATTTATTAAATAAGTAAGGGAGAATCAGTTCGAAATTACTAAATTTTAAATAAAGAATCCATATAAAAATGTGTTTTTGTTTGTAAGTATGGTGTTGTCAAAACTTATCAAAATGTTAAGACGAAAATTAGATTTAATAATTTTAAACTTCTTCTCTTTCTCCTATTAAGTAAATATAATTATAAATAAATAGGGAAAACGAACCATCTTGGGCTGAGAAAGGAGTTGTTAATAATATGCTGCCCGGTGCAAGTCCACAAAGTAATTTCTTGTCAATTAATGTAGAACAAATAATATGCAGACACCACTAGTATGCAGACTAAAACTCCGTTTTGATATTTGAACGATGAGCAAAACATCAATAGCGGATAGCCAACTCCAAATCTTATTGTTCTCACTGGGGCATTCTTAGGATAGAAATAAGCTATGCCATGTTAAGCTTTGGTATGCAACAGATATTTGAAGTCTAAGCTTAGGCATAAGCCTTTTTTTTTTTTTTTAAAGCTTGAATTTGAGCCTTCAAAAAACCTAACAAGGATTGAAACCTTTTTAAAAACTTACTTAAAATGTAAGCCTTTAAATAATGCCTCTAAATTTATAATCCTTCAGACTTATTTAAAAGCCTATATTATGTCTTAATAGTCTAAAAGTCATTTTTACTCCCAGTATAAGAGTTTAGCAAGGAAAAAAAAAAAAGAATGCAAAGTAACAATAGTTGTCAAATCAAGTAGGAATAAGAAAAATATTATCTAAATAGATATACTTTCTAAAATTAACCAAACACAAAAAGTAGCAAGTGGCATTAAAACTAGATTTTATCTATTTTGGTTTTCTCGCATAAGTTGTGACAACTCTTCCTACTAAGATAATAATATTTTATTTAGATGTTACTAAAATAAATGTACAACAATTGTTATGCTTTAGCAAACAATGCAGATCAGGGGAGAGGAAATGAGTAATATTGCCATCTTGAGTGACCAAAACAAAGAGAGGTAGAGGTGAATGACAAATAAATAAAAAAAGACTGACCTTGTGTAGGAATATTGCAATGTAAAACTTAGGGTCAAACTAAAGTTTGCAATTTTATAAATAATTTGTTATATTATATATAACAGCACAAATTTTAAAAAAATTAAATAAGTCAGGCCTATAGGCTTGAAAATCAGGTCCCACGAAAATAGGCCTCATCTGCTTGTCTAAATAAGCCTGGGAATAGGCTTAAATATGAGTTTGGCCTATTTACTAAACAGGCTAAGTTAAGCTTTATGTAAGCTAGGCCGTAACAAAAAGACCTGGCCTACTTCCACCCCGGCGTATTCTGATTTCGTCCTTTCACAAGTAGTATGATAATAATCATTCAAGAATCAAAAGTCTTTCGAAAAATCCAATTGCTACTATTAGCAATTATTTTGCCTCAACCGATTCTTGACCCTGGTTCCAGTTTGAAAATTAAAGATAGAACAAGTACGCATTTGAGAATACATTTGCAAACCCCATACCGCCCGGGGTTTATTTCATACCTTTTTATTTATTATATTTTTTTTTGGTAACACAGCATAATCTGTAAGTTTCAACCCAATCACTACCACAAGAATTAAGAGTTGCGCCTGCAGATGGTGATACCATCACCTAAAGGAGCAAGGGAAACATGAATCCGAGGATCAGCTGCGATTAGTCTGTTAAATTCAATTGTCAGTTTCCTCCCTTGTTTTCTATATTCTTCAGTGTCCTCATCACTCATTGCTACTGATCCCCCCCAGAGTGTGTTGTCATAAACAACTATGCCACCAACCTTCACCAATTTCATTAGTCTTTCATGGTAATTCCAGTAGTTAACTTTGTCGGCATCAATAAATGCAAAGTCAAAATTCCCTTCATTTGCACGCTGCAACAACAAAATATCACCCCAAAAGTTGGAAGATAAGATATACGAGAAAATGTGGGGAAACTGATGAATCTTGAAGGAAAAGTCATTAAATAAACAAGGTTGCAAATGGAATGAGTCAGACAAAAATAGATAATAATTCTCACATCTTTCAAGAGCTGATCAAGAGCCGGCAGAGCTTCAGACTCAATGAAATCTATCTTGTGCTCAACACCAGCTTTCCTAATGATTGGTAATCCAATCTCATATGACTCGCGATTCAAGTCTATTGCTGTTATCTGCAGTGAGGAACTATGTCAATCTATGAATTTTATAAGTTCAATAAACCTTAAGCAATACCAGTGAAAAATGGGGTTTCCCGATGACCTTTCCATCCTCCGGAATTGAAAGAGCAGTGAGTAGAAGGGAGTATCCAGTGAAGACTCCAACTTCAATAGTCTTTTTTGCATTGACTAGCTGCATAAGCATGGAAATTAGTTGACCAGCATCTGGTGCAGTAGCCATGACAGCCCTGCAAAGAGAGAAGCGAGATAAATTTTACTGCTGCTATTTGATTCGACTGGTACATCAAGATCTAGATGGCCCCCCATCACGGCATAGGTAAGCAAAACTCAACATGCGGCAAAGGGAGTATGGGATCACGGAATCCTTTTCCTAAATATAGACAAACCAGACTCAAAAGGTTTGGATGCATTTGTTGTTTTCTGGCCCTAATCAAGGGTTCTGAGCTTCCCATGCAGAATTTCACTTAGAGACAGCCTTGTTGGATGATTTAGCTTACAATAAGTTAGATATCTTTTAGGAGTAAATACCCCAAAATATTTAGAGACTAGAGCTATATGAGTCCACATATTTTCAAGGACCAAATTGTTAGTTTGATCTAGAAAGTGTCAGATGGTCATCATGCAAACGTTTTTTAAGCACATAGCTTTGATCAGTATGCAAACCGACACATGTCATTAGCCATGACTTGACATATTATCATAACATCTCTGAGGTTATTTAATCAAATTTTATGGTAATTTCGGACTGACAGGCACATATTTGCAATTCCATCAGAACATCATTGTCTTTCTTTTAATAAACATTGCACTTAGAGGAGACATGACTCATTAATGAGCTTAGAGGAGACATGACTCATTAATGAGTCTGAAGATATTTGATGGTCATCATACACCCAAAGTTTAACCACATATATTTATAAAACGACAAGCGCCGGCAAATAGCAAGAAACTACAAGGTTATACATATGAAAATCATTTGAAATTTCTAAGAAATCCATTATTTCGTGAAGCTCATATAGATGTGAATTTCATCTGAAAAAATCGCATATTTGTAATTCCATCCGGTAATGTTTTTCATTTCATTTCGATATGAACTGCAAGTTCAATATCGGAACCCAATTCAGTTTGATAAAAATCAAAAGCATGCAATAGGGGGAAGAGTCACCTTGGGTGATTAGCAGTGACTTGCCTCAGCTCCTTCAGAGGCTCTGGTTCACGTGGGTACACACTAGTCTCCAGAATATACTACCATATTAAGAACACAAAACTTTGATCCCGAAATTTCCGACAAATATAGCAAAGAGTGGAAGCAAGGAGCATACGAGCCTAAATAAAATATTAATACCTCATATAATTCTTCACTTCTCAGTAAACCCTTCGAAGGACTTGGTACCTTTTTCAAGTCTTGCTCCATTACCCTCAAACTTCTTCAGATCAAGGTTTCAATCTATACAGCTACACAAACTTACAGAGGCTATCACGGCAAAAACGTAGCCATTAAATTTCATACCACAAAATTTATACCAGTCACAGCAGAATTTAAACAAACAATCCCCAATTTGACATTCAGCAAACAAACCTATTCTGTTTCAAAACGCCATTAGGCGGGAACAGTGAGGTTAATTGAACTGTTATACACTTGAAAGCAAAATCTATGGAAATCTACAAGGAAATCAACTACTATTTCGATGAGGAACAACGATCTACCAGGGTGAGAGAAAACAAAGAGGGAAAACAGTCAATGGCTTAACCGTCTTTCTGGTAGTGAAAACCGTAAGTCTAAACGAAACTCTCACCAATTGGACCACTTGATAAAGCCCAAGTCATAATTAGCTCTCTGGCCCAATATCCAGCTCATGACCCAAACACATAATAAGGCAACGATTTGAAAATAATTATAAATTTATATTCACGCCCCTCTTTATCTCCAAAGATAGGGTGTCCTAATCACCCAACACCTATTCCTTCCCTATTGTCCATTGAGACTGCTCTAAGCAATTCCTTTTTTGCCGGATTATGCCAATATAATCATAAAAGGCTAATTTTTTCCGAATTTTAGACGAAGCTAATACTCCTCCGGTCCTTAATATAGGATATAATAGTTGAGTTAATTTTAATTCTAAATATAAGATTTATTTATCATATTTATCAATTTTTTCTAAATTACCCCTATGGGTATTCCCTTAACCATAATCAAGTAGAAGAGAGAGGAATGATATTAAGAAAGATGATTATGGTGTTTTAGGCAAAAAAAAGGTCATATTTCTTATAATTAATTAACTTATCTAATTTTCTTAATCTAATCAAATTAGTTAAATAGGTCTTATATTAAGGATCGAAAAAGTATTAAATTTCTTTTAATGTTGATTCTAGTTAAAAAAGAAAAGTTATTAGAAATTGTCTTTGAATCTTTCCAGCTGAGTTTTTCAGTTTCTTCCAACTAATTATTCCAGTTCTCACGATGATATTTTCTTGGCTTTTATAACTCTATCATCAATCATCTCTAAGAGCAGTTATATAAGTTAACGGCCTAACTTTATTCCCACGCTCACACGGAGACTCTTCCTCCTCCTTTTTTTTTTTTGTGTGGATAAAAGTGATCAAGATATATTAATAATTTAAATCATATACTACTTCTGTCTTTAATATAAAATCTAGTTATGGACTAGATTTCATTCTAAATATAAGACATTAATTCACATTGTCTCTTATATTTTTTCTCCCCAAAATATCCTTATTAATTGTTAGGGGTTTCCACCAAGAGATAATTTTGATCATTCAATGCACACATGATTGAAAAGGATGGTTTAGAGATACTAACACATATTTGTGACAAATAACCAACTTAACTAATTTTTTTAATACCTATAAATTAGTTATTTAACTCATATATTAAAGACTGAAATTAGTAACATATAAACAAATAAATGGCAACTTAGAAACTAAATTGACATGTTTGGTGGGAGCCGAAAGGAAGACTTTTAAGAGTTCAATTTAAAAAATTATAAAAATAAAGTTAAAAGATTTTAATCAATTGTGGTTACTTGTTATCTCATATATTCTTTTTATTAAAACTTTATAATCCCACTTATTTTTTTTCCCTAAAATCATTCATTAAAATCTGTTATTCCCTCCATTCCCCTTCAAGCAAACTAAGTGCAGAACCAAATACACAGTAAACAAACCAAAAATATGCAATACAAAAAAATATGATAAAGAACAATTACAGAAACTAATAAAACGATAATTAAAATGAAGAAGGTGATGCAGCTCATATCTCAGTGACCGAGAAAGCTTCTTGCTCAATGCAGTTTGTGAGAACACCATAATATCCGTCGAGAGAAATGAACTGTTTCTTGATGCAAATTATTTCCAGAGAACCTGCTCTTGAGGCCAAAAGAGATTTATTTTCAGCTTCTCTTTTCTTCCCTAAGAACTGTTGCAGTTGCATGTTCCATGACAATATATGGACCTGATTTTCTTAAACTCGTGAAGAATGATGGTCCAGCCTTTTACTATTCAACTTAATAACATCACTATGTGAGGCAGAAGGGATCAACTTTTGAGTCTGCAGGGCTACGTTTCTTCTCTGCCAAATGATGTCAATAAGATAGATAATTCCATGAAAATGATTTGTAAGACCATCCTTTTCGAAGCTGCCTCAAAGTACTTCTCATTTCAGCATGCTCAGAAATCCCCTTTCAAGTTCAGAGTTATATGGCTTGATTCGCAATGTTGGAAGGATGGATGCGGAGACCTCCTCCTTCAGTAGATGATTCTTTTCAATGAAAAAAAACGAACCAAAAAATGCAACAGCAAAAGAACCTTAAAAAAAAAAAAGGGATACCATAAAGATATTCCAGAGCCATTGTTCCATTACCTTCAAGAGATCAAATGAAAAGGTCGTACTGCCGCAATGAATCGTCCGACGAGGATGATATACCAATGAACCGCATGGGAATCCACAAAATTCACAAAACACGTGCATAAAGGCAACCGTGCAAATTTGATAATAAGATAGTAATAACGAGAATTTCTTAATTCCGTACATAAAACAATCAATTCTCAACATGTACACGTAAAATGTCATATAATAGAAACCAAATTATGAATCTCAATGGTTAAGCTTGCAAATCACTCCACCAACAAACAAATTGAAATGATCCTCCGGGACTCGGAGTTCCAGAATAATCTGACTTGGTGAAAAGTTCACATTTTTAACAGTGAACCCTAAGCATTAAATTCTTTTCACTTGAGGATTCCAGTTTAAATTTCAAGATTAGAACACCACAGAAGCTTAGAAGCAAATGAAACATGGGCAGAAACCCAGTTGTGTATACATAATTTGAGGCAGCAAAGCAATTGATTCATTGACCAAAATAACAGAGTCAAGAATGTTGACAATACATCTGGCTATAATTATAGCTTCTACCCAAAATCAGATTGATTCTCTCCCCATGGGAAAACCATCCTTTTGAAACTGTCTATGGTGACAATTTCCCAGCCGGCATTTCTTTCCTTCTTCGTTCAGGTATAGAAATGGCTGGAATCTCCCCATGACGGCGCTAGTCTAGTCTGACAAACAAATCTGCACCTTTAATTATGTGGGATCTCTTATTTCACCCGTCTCCTCCGGTCCCTGTCTCTGCCTCTCTCCCTTTCATGATCATCCCTCTCCCTGCTTCCACTTTTCTCTCGATCCCTACCTCTATCATTATCAAAATCATAACCCCCTCTATCTCTCTGTCTATCTTGGTCCCTGTCTGCATCATGTTCCCTCTCCCTGTCTCTGCCTGATCTTCGTTGTGGACTATGACTTCGGCTACGACTACGGTGGCGTTTTCTTGAAACATCATGTGAATCATCTCTCCTGTCCCTCCTCTCTGAAGATGTTCTTCCTGCAAGTATTTTAACAAAAAAAGATGTTCTGTCAAAACTTTCAAATCCATTAGAAACCTGGAAATCAATTCCGAACAAGTAGTAAAAGAACAATGCACTATTTCAGACTCCATGCAATTGAACAATTTTTACCTGAGTTCAAAATTATCACTCTTTGAAGTTCTAAGAATTACAGGAAGCTGGATCTCTAATTTTCAACTTACATAATAATAACACCATTTCACAAAGCGACAGTTACGTCACATGAGGATAATATGTTGATTTTGTTTCCAGTTTTAACAGGATTTTGTGAACATTTGGCATATACCATGCTAAAACTTGAACAAGTTCATGCTGTTTCAAAGAATATATCTGAATAATATACAAGAAATATCATATTTAATCACCCTGATTTCAATTCAATGTTAAAAAACCCAATTACTTTTGCAATACTTTCAAGCTAGGAACTATGGCTGCTGACTGACTTGGCAACACAGTAAAAGTGAGTGGCAATAAGTCAATTTAAACCGCTGGTTAGTGTCCAACAAATGTTAGACCTGGACACAGCTCCATTATTTAAAATTTTAAATATCCTTGCTTTATGGCTCCAACTAAGGGGCAGGGAAGAGGGGAGGAGAAAGAGCCTAGGGTTAGCGCAGAAGAAACTTACTACTTCCTTGACCATCTTCTCCAGAATCTGATAATCCAAACTCTGCTTGCAACCGTTTCCTGTGCAGTGTGACTTTTCTCTCAATTTCCTCCAAATTTTTTATTCCCCTCTCTTCAAGAGACTCCCGGTATTCAATTAAAGCAACTTCTAGGCGTCTCAACTTCTGCCTGCGTAACAACCATGGTAAAAGAGCAATAAATAACGCACCTGAGAAGAAACATTACCTGGCCTTTAAATAAGTATTTTGGAAAATACTTACTCAAAGTGATACCCAGGATTCCTCAAACAATTATGACACCAAACATTTATAATCAGCACAAGAATTTGCTACGCTAAAACAAATATCTAGTGCTTGCACAAAGAAAAGAACCAAAAGGACAATGAAACTGTGATTGCGAATGAAAAGGGACAAACTTGCAGAATCAAAAAGTTATAAGAGAATAGAGATACTAGGGCTGGTAGAAATAGGGAATTAAGAGACAATCTCACAAAAGACTGCAGGCAGAAGCTTGTTTCACCGTGGCTGACACCTCTTGATGTTAGAGGGTAGCAGTAATGCAAAAAAGTCCCAGGATATTTCCATAAAACCACTCCCTAATGAACTCAATTCTTCATTCTAATTTAATTTGATGATTTCTTACTGAACATCCTGCTTAATTATTGTAGGAAATTTATTTATAGTAACATTCCTTGATTAGTCAACAGTAAAATAAATGAAAATCCAAAGTCACCATCTGCTAGCAGAACAAAAATGCACAGTATCAATTCCAAAGACACCATATCTACTGCTGGAATTATAAAATAAGGCAACAAAGTGAGATGAAGTAATATACAACCTCTGCTCTTCATTCATTCCACTATCAGCTGGTGCGGAAATGCTCGTATCAGCAGCAGACTCCAGCTCATCTGTCTTAGTAGTACCATCACCAGCATTCTCGCTACCTGAAGATGAGTAGCTTAATCCCAAACCCTTTCCACGACCCTTCTGTTCATCATCACTATCATCATCCTCTCGAGCCCACTTAGAAGCTGGTAACACTGGATCATTCTTTTCTTTCTTTGTGAAGGCTTTCAATTCAGGGTGTGGAATGGGAAAAGTTTGCGCAAGTGGCACTGAGCCTTTGCCTTGTGAGTGTAAATCATCCTCCCCATAGTGGTCCCATCCAGAGAAACCAACTGGTTCGGGCTCAGTGCTTGTTTCTCTCCGGCTACTTGAATATCTCCCAGAACTTGTTTGGTTCTGAGCATATTTCAATTCATCGTCTAGCTCATAACCCCTTTGCTTTTCTGCCTCCTCCAGGCTAAGCAACCGTGCAACCATCATTTCCCTACCACCCACAAGTGACAATCCATTGTGTCGACATCGTCTTTCCAGCTCAGCAAGAGGAAGAGACATTAGCTCCTTCGTTGCAGCTCCTCTGCCCATTGCCAATGCAGAGTCTTGGTTGCTCTTGCTGCCATCAACTGTATCTTCCGAATGCATATTTTTCTCAATTTCAGGTGCATCACCACATATGGAATGAAATAGTGTAACACCAGAGTTGCTAGAACGAATAAACGTGGCTCGTAAGCCATTCACATAAGCATCAGAAAAGAGAAACCAATCTGCCCACACTTGCAGAACTTTTAGCACTCGTTCCTGAAATATTTCAGCCAAAGATCACACTATATGCAAGGATAACCAACAATTGTGTCAAGGCAATCAAAGCTTGTCCAGCCTACCTTTAGGGCCTCAGCAGTAATGCGTCCTGTTATGCTACGATACAAGTCATTAAAACTCTCCATTATGTCAGGCAATGTTGCTTCAAACTTGGTGCGATATGCAGAAGCATTTCTTACTGGAGCACTACTATTGTGAAGCACATCAGAGACGAGCATAAGCCTTGCAACTTTAGTTGGAATAGGGGTCTCTTTCAGTGTCAGGGATTCTGTTAAAACTTCAACTATCTGCAGTTTAAAATAAATCAGAGAAAATAAAATGTTTCAGGAAGAAATATTATATGATTGCCAAAGAAGTGAAATATATTTAATGACAGCATGGTTATAGAATCTGGATGAAAACACTCTTCTTCAGTGGTGGGATACAACTCCTTTTCCTTACTAAAAGCAATACACGTGGATAGGAAGTTTGGGTCAGCAAAGCAACCAAGGTAAAGAAAGACATAAAACGTATAAAAAGAAGCACAGTCAGGCAACAAGAACTAAAGTACTACGATCAGAAAGCAACATCAAACATGAAGAACAATGCCAACAGAAATCTATTGATTTTGCACCCCAGTGACACATATGGAAGTATTCAAGCACCAAAATAACATAAATACCTCTCCAGCTGCATCAGCGTTGTCCAAAGCAAACCCCATAGCTTCTTTTATTTGACTCCTCTCTAATGTTAAAGCACGCAGCATATCCTCAAATTCATCCCTTTGTGCATCAGTCAGTGTTCTTTCGGGTTCCACACGCTGTGAAATCAATTAGAAAATTTATGCAAACATGAGTTGATCCTGACAGACAATGCAGAGAAATTATATTTATTTTTCTTGCAAATACAAATAGAATACCCTGCTTCTCCCTGCAGCATGCGTGGACCCAGACTCCTTTTCATGTTCTGGACTTTTTGTAGAGGGCAATGATGGAGGAATCCATCTGAAGAAACAAACAATGTTTTGTTCATGGTTAACAAGAAGCCGCTTCACAACCACCTACTGACAATTTTAGTTTACTGTTTTCTCATGATGATCAACAAAGCTTCAAACGACCACTAAAATTTGGGGAAAGTACCTTCCACTGCCAGTTATCATAATGAAGGGTTCTGTCCGCCATCTCTGAAGAGTGTCACCCTGCATTGCAAGTAAAACAAACACATAAACCAAAAATGCTCTTAATACTCATTTTGCCAGAATGATAGTTATACCACCTTTTCCCTTTGATTCTATCAAGCTAGACAATAGTCAGCATTCAATAAATCACTGGTAATCAGAGCAAATTAAACCCAAACTAGAACAAAAATGTACCTGAGCAAATGAGTACAGTCTCCAAACATAGTAAGTATGTTCCTTGGAACCAAGCTCAAACAAGAAATTGAAAAGAGGATTGCCACGGCCCCTCTCCATAATGGCTTGCTCAAAAGCACATCCTCCATCCAAAACATACAAAGCCATGGTATCAATCACATGCCTTAGATGCTCATCTTCAGGAGGTGTAACCATTATATCGGGAACATTAGGAGTGAGAACCTACAACAAAATTAAAACATTAGTAATAAATATGTTAAAGGATAGAAAAACAAAATGCTCCAATAAGAACCATAAATTCACAGATGCAACAACACTAAAAGGCCCACGTGAGATTTCTGTGAATCCGCTTATGTTGAAACAGCTTATTTTCAGATAGAGCTTCTGAAGAAGTGCTGCACAAGAGCATTTTGTGTTCGGCAAAATCATTCATTAAGCACTTTTATCACTATTTAAAAAGCAATTGTGCTTGGAAATCCTTCAGGGGGAAAAGTTCCTTTATCACCAGTCAAATCACCATGAAAGGCATTTTGCTTTTGATAAATAATTGAGGATAGTTATGATAAATAATTATTTTGACTGGGGGTATAACATCTTCAAGAACAACAACAACAACAATTTTCTGCTTCCATCATTGCTTCAAAGGGAAGTGTGAGAACCATGGCCAAGGAATCTATTAGTTAGAATAAATGATACCAACTAAAAGAGAACTAACCAGTTCAGAGTTCTGGTTAGAAACAGAAGTTACCGGTGGACCTGATGGGCCAGATGGACCAGACAAGATCACAGTGGCACCCTGACAATTAAAAAAGTGTAACATATTAGACAACACTTTCAGAAAATATAACATCAATTAATAATGAAAACAGCCTTTTAAAAGAAAGATGATAATAATACCTCCTTACTCCTGATGGCCATATGCCCTGGTGGAGGTGCAGGGAGTGCTTGCGATGGGAGAGCAACAGACTTACCCCAGCCAATTTTCAATTCATACTCATAAACCACGACCCCTGCAAAAAATAACCAAATTCCTGAGTCTTCTGCATTTAGACATTTCAGCACATAAATTTACTGTCTCTCGCAGGCAAACAGTGCATATGAACATACATAAAAAGCTTAATCATTTAGTAGTTATAAAATTAAAGCAATCATCCTATATCTTATGCTCACATGCTACCTTCCTAAAACATATAGATTGAATAATCTACTAAGATATCATCAGAGAAGTTGCGGAAAGAAATAAATTCAAAATACACTGCATGGAACAGGGTAGTGCTACAGGCTCCTGGTACTTCAGCCCACATGTTTTCCAAATTAGCAGAGATGCTCGTCATAATCATGTTTAGCCTGGGTGACTGACTAGGATGCTTTTGACAACACTGAAGCAAAGCTATCTTCACTGGCCCTAAAAAGCTTAGATCCTACACTATCCCCCATTAGAAGTAAACAAATGATACCATTATAAATTAATTACTTCTAAAAACGTGCACCTCAAAACTAACTTCTACAGAACACTAACTACTTCCAATCGCAAGCATTCCTCTAATACCCAGCATAGCATATTTCATCCTTACAAACCCAATTCATGATTATGTTAAATAACATAAGTATATATCCATTTGTTCCTCAATTCTACAGTTCTCATTCAATAACAATAGTCACACAGCAATCACACACAACTCTGGAAAACTATTGTCAGACGAACTTCAATATTTTCACCTTCAATAAGTTATATAGTATATATTATTTGCAAAGAAGTAATAACTTAAATTCGAATTTCATGGCAGAAGTAACTGATATATAGAATATAGATAATAAATTAGCATTTACGTAGGAAAGACAAATTAATATTTTTTCTGCTTCCAATTTTGGCAAGAAGGGTCAAACCTTGCATTTCATCTTTAGCAGCCTGTCCATCAGCTCTGTTCATGAAAGCAACAAAGCCACAGTTTCTTTGCCGCCGTCGTTCCTCCTCTGTCCTAGGCCACATTATCTTTACGCTAGCAATGGGTCCAAATCTTCCAAAAGTTCGGAGAAGAAAATTTTCATCAACCTAGAATTAAGGAAAATGCTGAAATGAGATTTACATCTCCCATTTTCAATAGCACAAGAACTTATTAATGCAAGGAGACAAATCACCTTTGGAGAGAGATTTCCAACATATAGATTTGTAGTTTGTGGATCACCATCATCAAATGATCCTGGCAGTTTTCCACTTGGATCAAAATCATCAGGCAATTCATCAAAGCGACTAATCTGTAGGAGAGGGATAGATTTGCATGTCACAGATTATGCAGTCGATCAATTAATGTTTCTCATAACATCAAATAAGAATAAAAAAGTGCAAGCATATAACAGTGTGATATGCACGAGAAATTCATCATGTACTTATAGCAGTCTTACACTTTTCAAAAGCTTTACCAAATCTTATGGAGTTAAACCTAGCAGCAATACTAGTTTTGTACGGTATGAACATCAAGATACAACCAAAAACATTAAACTACCAGCACTTATATGCAAATAAGTACACTTGTCAGGAAAGAGTATCTTACACTAGAATGTTCAGTGCTGCGCCCATCACGCCAATGTTCACGTTCTTGGTTTCGCCTCTCCCTCATTTCTTGCTCATGTTTTAGCTCCTCCATAAAGTTATCTATATTCCGCGACTTGCCTTTCTCCTTCTCCTTAGGCTTCTCCTCCTCTTTCTAGTACAACACAAGATTATTAGACCTAGAGTCTAGACACGGTGTAGCATTGAAATGGAAAGAACAAAAATATTATTTCAGAGATGATAACTTTATAGCAATACTGACTTTCTTCTCAGCTTCTTTTCCCTTGGTTGCCAAAGGAGGAGGTATAAAAGATGGAACATACCTGCAAAGATATATCAGGTATGAATAGCCATACTCATATCAGTCTAAAAATAGGATATGTTTGTGTGTGCGCGCGCGCGCGTGTGTATGAAATAGCAATTCCCAAAAGGTTCTCATCGATAGTCAGATTTATTAATTTGTATCTTCTACATTTTCACTGAGCAATCTAAGAAACTACTCCACATGACACTAACAGTCATTCCAACTGATGATTTTGGTTCAGGAAGTTGTATTCTTTCTTTCAGTCGATGCTTAATTTCATGGAAAAGCAAAAGGTGGGATGTTGCAGCTAGATCACATAGAAGCCGAGTCATGTAATAGCATTAACAACCTTTGAACTTGTGTAGTTGGAAGAGTTACTAGGAGAATCAAGGTTTGGAAAAGTAGGTAATCAGGCAACCCTACTTGTCTAAGTTTTTTACGAGGGGACAAACTACACAGAAGTTGACATCATCATAGAAAAATCAATGGATGCATTAATGCTAGAATTTTCAGCAAGTCTTTTGCCTGTCTTTATAACAAGCTTGATGTAAATGCATGCTCCAAGCCTCCAACTTGAGGGGAGAGTATGAATAGGTTTGCACAAGATATATTGCAGCTGTACTACAAGCACAAGGGTTGCAAGTTCTACTTTACTTCATATTTGATGAGGGAATTTTAACCGTGTAAACCGAAGTTTTGTACGTCAGTACAGCATTATCACCAACATACATTCTCAAACCATAAGTTTCCTCCTTTATTCCTAGGTTCAAACTATTTGTATTGAATACCGTTGTATTTTCAACAAGAGCTGTATTAAATAAGTAAAATAAATAAAGAATTATATAAATACTGATAAATTATTAAAACCACACATTGAATATAATATAGAATATGTAAGAACAAAACTCTCACATATCCCCTGGTGCAATGACCTTATAACCCTACAATAGCTCAAGATGCATTTTAAGATTGGGCACCATCCATAACACTGGATGCAACAAAATTCACTGACCTCATCATACAGATCACATGATCTGCTGATAAGAAAAGTTAGTGAATTAACAACCAAACATGAATGTGAAAGTAAAAGGAATACGTTCATCACAATTATATATCTAAGTTAGCCAAACATTATCCTTTATCACAGCATCAAATATCTTATAATGCTATATGCCAATTATATGTTGGCAAAAAAAGTAAGGTTCTCATTTCTGCATACTATTGTAGTTGTAATTTTTTTAGAGGTTTGCAAAGAAGCCTGGAATTCATTAAAAGGACTGAAATGGCCACTGCTGATAAGTTTCTCAATAGCCATCAATCAACTATCAAGACTTAAAATGATCAATGGTATGGTATTTTATCTCCAAAAAGATTCAAGCATGAATCGGATGAAGTGTTAAAATATCCTTGAGCAGAAATTAGATGTAAGCTACAGTAAAAACCGCTTAACCTGAAAACTTCAAAAAGGAAGACATGACAATGCAAAACAAAAAATTCTGATAGGCCAAACTGTCACAAAAATTTTGATAGGCCATACTGTCACAAAATCATACTACCTTCTTTTTCTTCTTTTCAACATTTATTAAGCCTTAATAAAAAAAAACAGAGAGAGAGAGAGAGGTAAACAAATAAATTATATGAATTCATACGCGCGCACAAATTGCAAGGTGGAGTGAATTTTAGTTCATCAAGAATATCTACAAATGATCCAAAATATGAATAAAATATGCAAGAAATCCAACATCTAATTTCTCAAAGAAGAACAAGCTTTCCACAAAATAACTCCACTAAGTGGAGCAAAAATAACTGCACACCGTGCAGAGTGGAATTGTATTTATTAGAATAAAAGGAAACATTACAAGGAAGCAGGATAACATATTCTCAGAGATAAAACAGAATGAAAACCATCAAATCAAGCAAACAGAAGTGCCGCCGCTAGCCCCAGGGGGCCAGAAGAAAGTGCACATATGCACGTGCACACACCCAAGGGGACCCGATATCAATTGGATATGCCTCGTTATTTGACATGATCTAGTAATTTAATTTCCACCAATTAAAAAAAGTCATATGCACCCAGATTTCAACAATGTTCCTAGGCCAACATAAATCAAAACTTCAACACAGACAATAATAATAAAGCAAAGGAAACTTCTCACAGCAAATTTAAATATGAACAGATTACCAGACATATGAAGTTCTTGTTGTTTGAGAAATAAGGTGTCAAAGTTGGTCAGACAAGAACAAATCAAGAAAGTAAATTCCATATTTCTAACCAAATTTTCTTTTCTGCAATCAGAATACATCAAATTCTTAACAGAGTTGGAGGAGACTACATCTTACAGAATATTTTCCAAACCCAAAAAGAAAAATACCAGTAACACTACGTTTCTACAAATATTTTTTAAAGTACATTAGTTACACAATCAAATGTGTCATTATTGATTTACGCCTAACGAACATAAATCCATATCGGACAGACATGTTCCTATGTATGATACCTGATGAATATAGCATAGCAACATGGTTAATCAAAAGCATTTATTTACCTACTTCCCTTCTTTGCAGAAACCCCATCTTTGGACTTTTCACCTGCCATCCGTGAATGAATAAAAAAGTTCCATACTTTTATTAATGTTATCCAAAATAATAGCAAAAACTAATATTTATCCATAACATGAAAATATCTATAATCAAGATTTCAGAGAGTGTGCAGAAATGGCATAAATGGGAGGGGTAAAACAGTACAGAATTTATCAGTCATACCAACCTTCAGAATCTGCTTTTATTTTTTCATTGGGATTGATAGTTCCTCCTCGAACAAAAGCCTTTGATCCAGGAGTGCTATCACCTTGAAATGACTCAACAAACTCAGCATACAAGCGTGCAGTTTCATCTTCTGCTCTCTGCAGAAGCCAAAACACATTAGATAGTTAAAATTGTCTTCCCTAATAAGCACTAAATTGGGTTTACAAGCCTTACCTTCTTCTTTGCCTCTTCTTCTTCTCTGTGCTTTTGAAAGGGTGTTTTTTTCCGTGTAATGGAGAAGGAACTCATCTTTGCATAGAACCTGAAGGGATGATGGAAAAATTTAATACATTCTGCAACCTCAAACAGAATTCTAATGGGAAATTAGGTTGCACTGAGTATTGAAACTGTCATAGCTTTTCATGATCATTTTTCTATATCTAGAACCAACTCTTGTTTTACTCTTACTTCAGTATGTAAGATCTGCAATAAATTAATGAAATAAAAAGTGTTGCAAACAAATGACTGTAGGAAAAATACATTACCAATTCTGACAATCCTCCAGAAAAAAGAAGTAATATAGACATGAATGACAATTACCAACTGCTCACTACTGTACCTAAAGCCTTAACCTAGGCGTGCCGCTAAAATGTAAAACGCATAGTAACTGATGTTACAAAATCATCCTCATATTCAATCGCTGCCCTCTCAAAAAAGTAACCTAAACTAAAAATTGCTTATTAAATCAGCTACAGGACACGGGGTTGAACCAAAGTACCCAACTTCCCCCAATTCCCAGAAACCACAAACTTTCCCTAAACTTCCGACCAAATATATAAAGTCAGTTCACGAAATTCAATTTACAATGAATAACACATTTGAAAGATTTCCCCAAAATAACCACCCACAACTATTATTCATCCCAACACCGAAGAAACACAAAAAAGTAGTGACTAACGGAATGATTAATTCAAAAGTACCGAGAATTCAATACGTATTAAAAAATAACGTGAAAATTGCATCCCAACCACAAATTGATTCAGTAACCAGTAAAGTAGCTGGCACTTGAATCCAAAGGAGTAAACGAATGAGGACAGATTAAAGTAACGTCCAACCAGAGTCAAAACATGAAAACTTATGAAGGGAAAACTACAACCTCGGCAAGTGTGAGAGAGAGAAAATAGAGAAATCATAGGGAAGCTAATGAATAATCGAAAGCCATTGTCGCAATTGTACGAAAACAAGAAAAGAAAATCCGTGTTTGCAGACGCATTAGATGCATGAGCAGCAGAAGTATGAACCTTGGTAATCGATGAACGAAGGGAGAGATTTGACAGAGGAGGAGACCGAAGAGAGAGAGAGGGATGGGGCAGCTCACCTGGGTTTTCTTTTTCCGCTCCGTTTGGGTTTTGCGCGTCGTCGGGTCGGAAACAAAAGGAAGGCAGAACAAGCAGACTGGCTTACAGTGGCATATGTGTTCCTTTCTAATGTTAATTATAAAAATGTGTTTATGCGCTTTGTATTATTCGTTACATTTATAAAGCAATTATGAATGACACCCATCAATGTATGAACATTTTTTTTAAGTATGAAATTGTGAATTTATAGACTTTCTATAAAATATAATGAATGTATGAATTGTGGCAGGAAAAAATATTATGTTATTTCAAATTTACTTCCATGATCACTTAATCAAGAATAATATTTCAAAAAATTATTGTTTTATTATGTTATTATAACAAATGTATGGCATTAGAAGCAAGCATTAGAAGCAAGCGTTAGTAGGTCCTAGAGCTAGTAATACGAGCCAACCCGCAAGTTATGGACTGACCCATGGCGAGGTTGGTCTTTTTAGGACCAACTTCTCCAAAGTGGGTTGACGGTTTAGGCCCACTAACCTACCAATTTTTATAAACTTTTTTTTTTTACCTTTTATTTTCTTTTAATAACATTTACTCAAATTTCTAAATGTCTAAAATAAAACACACAAATAGAAATTATCATAAATAAAACATAGAATCCAAAGTTTCAAATATCCTAAAATATTAAATATATATATATGATACATCCTAAATGATTTAACAAACATTCCAAATTAAAACATAAATCCAAATCAATAATAATACAAAGTCATAAACACAATGTATTACTACATAAATTACTATCAAATGCTCAATCATGAGCTATCACTCAATATTGATAGGGTTGGAAGCATCATTTGAAGATGTGAAATTAATTGGTTGAGCTTGAGAAGTAAAACTACCATCTCTTTGCTTAGCTGACTCTGTCACAAATAAAATTCAAAAAAATGAGAGCTGAGAGGGCAGAGACTCAGAGAAGCTGAGAGCTTGGGCAAAAAGCAAATGACTGAAGAATGAGGGGTAGGAAATTGCTGCCTTTTGAAGCAGAAAATTTAAGGGAAAAAAATGAGAGGGGCAAAGACGGTGTGTTTCAAAGGGGAAATTTTTTTTTAAAAAAAAAAAGTAAAACGGGCAGGCCCGCCAACCTTGCAAGTTAGCACAGCAGGTTTGGTTTTGGCAGTTATGGGCTCAAAAAATCCGTTTTAAAAGTGTTCCAATTTTTATCAATCCAACCTGCCACTTCTTGGTCTAATATGCCCTACTCAGCGACATGGAAGGCTCGTTTGGAAAGACTTATGAGTAGTTTTTTTAATCATAATTTGTGAAAATACAAGGTAAATATGTGAGATAATTTTATCTTAGCTTATGTAGAACATGCTTATAAGTTATGCTAAACAAGGTCGAAGGGGAATTCAGAAACCTAGTTTCATCCAAGGAAAAAACACTTCTTCCATAGTTACAGAAATTATGAGGATTCATGAAGGACTATACGTTTTAAGTTGGAATTAAAATTACTGTAAAATTATTATCTTTAGCAACTTTGCAAGGAGTTTGCGCATCAATAGCAATCCAACTCAGAATTATCCTCTCAAGTCTAGAAGACGGCTGGACAGAAAAATATGCAACGAGAAAAACTAACCATTGCGCAATTCTTTAGCCCACCAAGGTTACTCCATAAGGTTGAAGTTAGGGTTAATATAATTTTTAGTCTTTGAAATTTGGGTACATTTTAGTTTTAGTTTCTTAAATTTTAAACATGTTGCTTTAATCCTTGAAATTTAATCCACATTAAAGTGCTAGTCCCTGAAGATTTAACGGTATTAAAATTTATTAAAGTATCATATGTGGAGTAAACTGGAACTCGATATCAATTTGGTTCAAGCCGTGTTGGTAGACACTGTTCTTAAGAATTATTCCTCCACCGTGATAAATATAGATGCAGCACTCCTCAGGATTAAACGAACTCTTCCTGCGGCAAATAGGGTGACAGAATAACAGAAATAGAAATATAACTAAGCAACAGAGAGAGGAGAAGATGAATGCTCGAAAACTCAAGAGCGGTGCACCAAACACACTGTCTTGAACCCCTTTATATAGGCCACGGATCATCTGAACGTTGGGCATCACACTTATAACAATAAACGCAATTAAGTGGGTATTTGGATGAAACCAAACTATGGTTTGAGAATAGCTTTTGGGGAAAATAGATTTTATGAAGAATATATTTTGTGAAAAAGTGATTCTGATGAAATGAGAGTGTTTGGATAGTTGTTATCAGAAGTACTTTTATGTACAAATTACTAAAAAGGGCATAAGTTAATATGATAATTATATAAAAAATAGATTTTATAATATATTTGAATTTGAAGAAATAAATTTGTTGATAATATTTTTTTTTACCGACATAATTAATAATATATAAAAATGTAATTAATAAATAATTAATATGTGTATATATATTTATAAAATATAATATTAAATATGTTTACAGAAAAATGATTTTGTCCTCTTCACTAATTAAATATGTTTATAGAAACTGATGAACTCTCCAATAGCACAGCCAATTGATGGAGACCATTATATTATACAGGATGCTTTTTTTTTTCCATTAGTCTTCTCTTTTCTGAACAGCAAAGGCGGAATGAAGAGTGAGGAATGAATTATTGGGGGTTGCTTTGTCATATACAGTTGGGGCCACACCAACGACCGGAAAATTTGAGCCAAAAGCAAATTGAAGTTGCTTCATTCGAAACCATCGTTTTGAAGTCCAAAACGATGGTTTTGCCCTGCATGGTTTCATATTTTTTCTCCCTATTTGGCTGACTCCTTTCCCAAGCCATGGTTTGGGGAGACACCCAAACAAGCTTTAAATCTTCAGTTTCAGACATTGGTACAATGAATAATATTTACACCTTCGATTATGAACATTAGAGGCATTCAAAAATTGGATTTCTGGACATTGGCAAGCATTAATCCATGAAAAATGGTTTAAGGATTAATGAAGGGATAATCTTGATTTAATGAGAAATAAAACTTCCCTAATGTTTAGTAACCTTGGCTAATTCAAAAAATAAACTGATAAAACAAAGGTTTTCTAAGAAGCTCTCTTGACACAATTTTATAATTCATTTTTGCAAAAGTGTTTTGTAAAAAGTACCTAGTGTTGTCTTATCTCGAGCTGGGGGGAATTGCTAGTTTTCAACTGTGTTTTCCTCCAGTGGGCCATTGTCGTGTGCAAAATCCTCCTTCTCCTTTAGGCCTATTCACTAGCCCAATAATATAAGATAGTATATATACACTTGAACTTCCTCTCTCTTAAGTAATATGGGACTTCACTTTTGGCACATCCACTTTTATTCACAACATCATAAACGGTGTTAAAGTGAAGATATGAAACCATTAAATAGCACCTAACTGGATCTTGCTTGAATAAGAGAACAATTATATAGAGGGGGATGAGCTTTCAAAATGTGAATAGGGGAAGAAAAAAGGGGAGTTAAACAGCTGCGTTTTGAAGACTTGTTCTTTTTTTTTCCCTCCCCTCTGTTATCCACACAAGATCTAATTAGGTATCATCTAATGACTTTACAACATCACTTTAATGCCGTTTTATAATATTTCAATAGATTTTAACACAATTATACTTTTAAGGACTAACATTTGAAGACAAACTAAATTACAAGAACTAAAACTACAGGTTTAAATTTTGAGAAATTAAAACCAAAATGGATCTAATTTCAAGGACTAAAAATTACTACCTTTGGTCCTAATTATAAGAGCCAGTTGACTAATTTGAGGAGATTAAGAAAATAAGTTGAGTTAATTATTTGTCTTAAATAGGTGTTGTTTTTCCTAAAATATCCTTGCTAATTAAGTGTATTGACCATAACTATAATTATTAGAAGGACTATCTTAGAAAAAATTGAGTAAATATGATAGACAAAGTGGATTGGGGTCTTATATTTATGATCAAAATAAAAGTCAAATAGGGTCTTATATTAAGGACCGAAGGTAGTATATTAACTCTATTATGAATATTTCTCTCATAGAATACACAGTCATTCTCTTCAAAAATTTTAGTCCTAGATTAACGTTAGCTGGCTAGTCTCTGCGTGTTTTGTACGACTTTTTATTTAAAAAAAAATTACAGGCTAATTTCACAAACATTTTAAATATATGGATCTATTTGAAGATTTTAAAATTATAAGGACCGAGTTGAAATTAATATAAATTGCCTTATGAATCAATGCGTATTTCTCCTAGTTACTGGTATAGCATGTAATCAATAAGCATTAATAGTATGAAAGATATATACACACATCAAAGCCAAAAATATATATATGTATACACACAAATACATAAAACTTAAATATGTGATAAAGGAGAAAGAATCAATTTTGAGTGAAAAAATTGATTTTCTACAGTAAAATCTGATTTTTAGTATTTAAATTCACACTCTGTTTTCTTACTTTCAAAAGTGATTTCATGAATTTGAGATGGTGTAATTATTTTTAGTGCAACTTATGTTCAGTTATGTGTAAATAATTTTTGCATTAAAGGCTTTTGCACATAATTAAGGATAGATCACACACAAGCTGCACCTGTTGAGGATAAATACATCAAGTCTTTTGACCAAAATTTTTTCTAAATAGTGGCTTTTCTCCAATTTGCCCCTTTAAGAAAATTGGAGAATTTATTATTTATACTTTTAATGAGCTTTTGGTTCTTATTCATATGCTTAACAGGGTCAACCAACACCATTAAGCTCATATCCAAGTTTTTATATTTTGAACAGAAGACATATGGCCAAAAAAAAAAAAACCACAAATTGAAACTATAGGCTGACTGTTGGCAAATTAATCTATAATCCATTATTATCATGTGTGCGCCTGTGTTTTCGGCCCCCTGTAGGTTTGAAGGCTGTAACTTATTCAGTGGAACTTGAAGATTTTATTTGATGTCATTGGCATTTTCACTTTTTCAATCCTGGATAAGAAAAAATTGGTTAGAGCTTAGAAATGGGTCACCAAATTTTAAATATTAGGAGGACACAACTACTATCTTTTTTATCAACAAAACAGAGAGAAAGAGAGAGACACAAAGCAATAGTTTTTGTCCACTTTACTCTTTGTTTGGCATTTGTTGCAAAACTGATATATTCAGCCATAGGTAGTTTCAATTTTATATAGCAGCAGAGTCACCAACGTATAGCTAGAATAAAATCGGTGGGATTAATCTATATAAAGCAGCTTGCAGCTTGCTGGCCAAAAAAAAAAAATTGTAGTTTAATCAACGATATGAATATAAAAATGAAACAATTCTAAACCAAAACCAAGAGTTTTTGTAAAGGAAAAAACATTGATATTTAAGCAATTAAAATATAAAAATACTGATAGGTAAGTTGAAAGAAAACATTTCAAATGATAACTGGTCTTACCTCATGCCCAAAAGTTGAGGTGTTTCAGGATGAAGAGCACCTAGCAGCAAATCATTATACTCCTGAACAGGAGAAACGGAACAGAACCAAGAGAGAAGACAGAACAAACAGTAACTTGTACACAACTCATTCACAAGTAAACTTTTCCTGAAAGTTAGTATGAGAAAATAGATGTGCAACCAAACTGGACTGCACCATGATGGTCGGATGTTTTCAGTGCTTTCAACTGAAATGAGTTTTCAGGCAGGCTTGCAAAGTATTTGCACATTGTAATTTCCATATATGAAAGCATAAGAGTATCTATCATAGTCGCTTTGTGGTAACTTTTATGGGAGATTCTTTTAACAAACAAAGAATAAAAATATATACCTTTTTTGGCCAGGAATACGCATTTATAGTTACAACTTACAGGATTTATGAAGCTGAAAAAATAGATCCACCGGCATTTTACCAATAATCTTTACATGAACATAGGCCACCAGAGAAATAATGAAATCCTGAAGAATCTCTCAGAAAAATATCCCTCCTAGTGACAATAGATACATATTTCAAGAACGCATGGCAATCCCCACAGAGTAGAATGTTCTTGACAATCCGAAGAGGCTTTCCATGCTTGCTTGTCAGGAGTCCATAAGTTGCAGCTAGTTTTGCACTATGATGAAATAAAAATTCCTTTTTCTGATGCTCCTCTACTTCATGAAGAACAAAGCTAGTGTCAGGTACATATCCCAATTTCATGCACTCCAAGATTAGAATCTCCAATCCACGGTAGATGTCTTTAGCTTGGGGATGGGACCTATCTCTAGCATAGAATGAATGCATCTTCCTCTGAGAAATGATCCAACTTTGAGCTGGGTGCTTGCGAAATCCATTCTCCCTCATATTCTCCCTGATCACTTCAGAGCAGTGCCACCTCCCAGAAGCAGAATAAAGATTCGCAACAAGTACATAGGTTGAGGGATCTTTTGGTTCCAGAGATATAATTTGCTTTGCAACCCGTTTTCCAATAACTGTATTCTTATGCAGTCTGCAGCTATCAAGCAAAGCGCGCCAAACAGAAGCAGTAGGCTCAAAAGGCATCTTACTGATAGTTTTCTCTGCTTCTTCCAGGAGTCCCCAGTAACCCAAAACGCTAATAAAGGAGGCATAATGCTCAGAAGTGGGCTCAATACCATAAACAGTTTTCATTGAATGAAACAAACCACGACATTCATCAACTAAATTCACGTTAGTTAGCCTGTACGCTGAAATGACTAAAACGAATGTAATTTCATCTGGCCTTATGCCTTCCCTCTGCATATTTGACCATATTTCTAATGCTCTATCACCTAATCTGTGCAGAATGTGACCAGTAATCAAAGCATTCCATGAAACAATGTCAGTTTTGGGCATATTATGAAACATCTTAATTGCATCATCCACATTCCAACACTTGAAATACATGCTGATGACTGCATTTCCGACTCCCACATCAAATTTAAAACCTAATTTAATAACATGGCAATGAATTTGCTTCCCCAATTCATGACTGCCAATAACTCCACAAAGACCCAGCATTGAAGATAAGGCAATTTCATCCATAATCATTGTCCCTTCTAATTGACTATGCTGGATAAGAGAGATTGCTTCATCTGGTTGTCCATTTCGAGCATACCCACACAACATGGATGTCCAAGCAACAGAGCTTCCTTCCTTTAACTGCCATCTACAGAACATCTTTTTGGCATCTTCCATCCTCCCACATCTTGTATACATGTCAAGCAACGCTGATTCAATACAAACATTTGGTCCAAAACCAAACTTAAGAACAAACCCATGGATCTGCTTGCTGACTCTATAATCAGCAAGCAAGCTACAGGCACTAATAATACTAGTCAGAGAGAAATCTGTTAACTCTACATCATCTTCTACCATTTTGAGAAACAAGTGCAAAGCCTTCAGACCTTCACCATTTTGACAAAATCCTGACAAAAGAGCATTATAAGAGACCGGATTTTTTTCTGGCATCTCATCAAATATTCTCAAAGCTGAATTAACTAACCCAAACCCCATGTAAGCTCTCACCATCTCTGTCCAGGTAATAACATCTCTCACAGTCATCCTCTCAAACACTGATACCACATCGTCAAGAGTTCCACACTTCGTATAGAATCCAATAAGGGTATTACCGACACTCACATTTGATTCCAATCCAACCTTAGTAGCATGTGCATGGACTTGTTTGCCCTCCATCACAGCAATACTAGCAACACAAGCGGTCAAGAGGGTTGAGAGAGTGAAGTAATCTATTTTTAAAACATCAGTTGCCTGCATGTCACGGAAAAACTGCAATGCCGTTTCGTGCATTGACTCCTTGACAGCACCCGATATAACAGTGTTCCAAGATGCAATATCCCTCTCACGCATTTCACCAAACAATTTGAGGACGACATCGTAGTACCCACACTTGCTATACAACCCCATAAGCGCATTTGCAACGAAAGCAGAATCCAGAAACCCCATTTTGATTGCTAGATTATGTATTTGCAGACCCAAAGACAAATGCAAAATCCGAATGCAAGCAGTTAAAATCGCAACAAAACTGTATTCATTGGGCTCTATACCCGAGTTTCTCATGTGAAGGAAAAGCTCCAAAGCTGTGTCTTCTCGATTAGACTTGGAAAACCCTGAGATCAACGCGGTGTAAGACACCACATCTGGGGAAGACAGGCCCAAAAATACGTTGTAAGCATCAGAAAAGAGACCCAGCTTCAAATAAGCCACAATGACGGCATTGCCCAGAGATGTGTCTTCCTCGAGCTTGATAACAGAGGCATGTGCAGCCCTGGCGAGTTCAACATCGCCGTATCGAGTCGCTAAACGAAGCAACTTGAAAAGCCGATCAACGAAAGAGTCCAACACGACTGAAAAATTCCCATCACTAGAAGCCTCCGGGAGAAGAGAGGGATTTGAATCAGAAATAGAAGTTTGTGGGGATGGAAGGAAGTAGATGGGTGAGGCTGAGGAGTGAAGGCCATGGTGAAATTTCGAATCTTTGAATAGAGGAGCAAGCAAGGTTGTAGTTGTGGAGTGCAGAAGAGAAGTGGGCGGTCGTTGTGGTGGTTTCAAGGGACAGTGAAAGAAGTTATGACAAAGCGAAGGGGAGAGAATGAAGCGATACTGAGAAGGTGAAGAACAAGAAGTGAGGCCGAAGGAATTGGAGTCTAGAACGGTGGCCATGTATCCGATTTCCTAGCGCCAACCATAATCTTCCTTGCCCGAGTTCTTCCACTCTACAACGCGGGCAATGGAAATAGAATCCGTTATTGGGAAATATTACCCTGTGGCTGCGCTTTGTTTTGTGGGTGTTTACGTAATTTTGTTAAATTTTCACAGGACATAACTCTTTGCAAGAATATGTCTAGTTACCATTTATTTCTCAGCTATCCCTCCATTTTATAATAATTATCGCAAAAAACCTCTTCTGTGTTTGTTTAAAATGAGTATAATTTTCTTTGGCAAAAAAAAAAAAATGAGTGTCATTTTTTCCTAGTTCAAAAAAAAAAAAAGTTCTCCCCCTTATTAATGCACTCATGAGTGATTAAGTACTAATATTTATTTAAACATTTTAAGGGAAAAACCAAATTGGAGGTACATATAATTTCTTTTCATTTTTAATTTGATACCTATCTGTTTTTTTAATTAATTAAATCATTTAATTTTGCTCTTTTAGCAACATTAGCTATTATTACTTTGCTCTGTTAACATTGATAGCATTTGTACAAAGATTAATAATATTAATAAAGTAAAATTTAAAATTTAATTAAAGAAAAAAACACATAAGTACTAAATTAAAAATTGAGAAAAAAAAATATAACCACCCCTAAAACAGTTTCGCCCGTTTTAAGAAAACATTAGATTTTTTTCAAGAACAAAACTTGAATTATTTAATTATTTACTCCGCCTACATGAAGCATGTTTTCTTCAGGACACTTTTTATGATGCCATTTTTGTGAAACGAAGGGCGTCGATAGTAAATTGGCATTCATGTAATTAAGCCATCTCTCAAAAGAATAATAATTCATTTGCCCAGAGAAAATCGGAAAAATGGAAGTCCAGAAACAATCTGAGTTCAAAGCAGGCAAACGTTCATTTTTCACAAAGAGCATAAAAAGCATATTATTCTAATACAACAATACGGCATATCCCTCACTGGTAAAAATTAAAGCTACAGCAAAATTCTCAATTAAAGATTAATTATAAGATTTAATTAACAATAATAAGATAACAACTAGTGAATGGCATATGAGTGGAAAGGCATGCTAAGGAATCACCGCCCTCTTGAAACTGCTTCATCCATCTCACTCTGTGATGAAGGAAACAACTCAATGTAGCGACTGCCCAGTGTCATTCTGTCCTTCGCCATTGCTGCCTTTGAATCTTCAGCACTCGCAAATTCCACATAAGCTTCCCCAGAAGGTCTACCCTCTGAGTTCATCACAATGTGAATACAATCCTCTGACACAACAAAATCCTTAAAGAATTCCATTATGTCATCCTTGGTGGCAGAAAATGGCAATCCTCTCAACCGCAACACGCCAGTATGCTCAGCTGAATCTTTTCCTTCATCGTAGGATTTAGCCCTAGAAGCACTTCGACGTGGTGAACCACCACCACCGCCAATACCACCACGAGCATCCGAAACCTCATTTGCGATTGCCTTGTAGTATTCCTGCCTCTTGCTTCTGAAAACCTCCACGTATCTTCTCCCCATGTTCTGCCGGTTTCTCTGAAGAGCAAAGTCAACTTGGAAAGGGTATGCAAGAACACAGAAGCCCTCCCCAGTGAACTTGCCACCTTTGTGAACAAAGAGGACATCAACTATATCTAGACCATGGAAGAACTCAGCAACATCAGCTTCGGTGCAGTCGAAGGGGAGGCCACGCAGACGAACAACAGGAAAAGGAGGTTGGTTGACATAACCATATGGAGGTGGATTGTACATGAAACTGGAACCAGGAGAAGTCCCATAGAACGATGATCCTGGGTCAACAATTCGTTGACGTTTTGCAGCCATTTCACGTCCATCACCACCATCAGCAAATTTACTGCATCATTCGCCAACAGCCAGAACAGAAAGAAAGAAATTTATTAATAAATCAATGGGACTGACAAGAAAAAGAAAAGGAAATCAAAGGAACGGAATTGAGCTCTTTGAATCCTTCAAAAGCTAGCTATTTCACAACACATTTGATGTTCCCCAGCAGAAACTTGCTTAAGATAATACAGCTGTATTATCTTTCAGGGGAATTTTGTTTCTTGGCGACAACAGAGATCTTCCAGTAATCCTTGCTAGGTTGTCATCATCCCGACCTTTTCTTATTTTACCCTCTGCCCTTCCACCATTCTAGGTAGGTCCATAGTGTACAGTTTCTATAAAGACTATAAAGGCCTACATATGAAGACTAATATAAAGGGGAAATCAATGAGGAAAAGTAATGAAAAACTTGCATTCACAAAAGGATAAAATTGTGCTTAATTATCTGACAAGGGTAGTTATTAATTTGAAATTCAAATAGCAATTCCTTTACAATTAAATTTGAAATTCAAATAGCAATTCCTTTACAGGTAGATATGTATATAGATCTCACTTTGACAACCATAATAATTAAGAAAAGAGAGAGTGTTGGTCAAGATTTATCAATCAAGTTAAACATTGAGACTTCAATACTATTAATTTTCCCCATCAAGTTTGGCCTAATATCTACCACCTGTGTTATTTAGTAACTTGGTGGGAAGAAACTAAAAATTGATTCAGTCAATATTATGCCAAACTTGATAAGGAAAATATTATCCTGACAGCAACTCGCTCATAACAAATATTCCCGTTAGTCTTGTTGAAATACTGTTATAACACCCTAAAAGACCTTTGGACCCATTACACTAATGTCTGATCGAAAACACTTTCTAAAGCCTAACAACCTCATTACAAAAGTGCCATCTCACAACATGCATTACTCTCAATTTGTAGAAGAGACTCTAGTCAACAAGAAACCAGTAAAGCAACCCTTTCTTCCAATGGTATGACAAGCGCCAAAATAGCATGAAACCTTCCAATAAATCACATATTGATTGCATCCAATCAATATCAATATAAAATATAAAACCTCTTGAACCTCGTGCAACTCTTTTTTATTCTTTCAATCTTTTTTTGCACATTTTAATCATGTTTAAATGATAGGAAAACAAGTACAATCTTCCAATGGGTATTTGTTTCTTCAATTGTTGTTCCATGACAATCCATATAAGTACCTCTACTGCGCTCTGGCTCTCCCAAAATTAATAGCCAACTTTTTTTTTTTTTTGACTAAAAGGGAAATATATTAAATAAGAAATGTGCTAAAACATATTTACAGAGGAAAGAAAAAGAAAAATAGCAACTGTCCTCAATTCACTCTGTTACGAAAATGGTTCACTCTTTCAGTGTGGGCTCTAATCAGCTTCTTGACAAAAGCTCACAAGTAGAAGCAACCAGCTTCTTGACAAAGCTAAAATGTTTGACATGACCCTTGTAATGTCAAGGACATGCCTTGAGCGTCCTTTAGACTTCACCTAGGTATTCCAGAATTCCTAGGAGCATGTTTTCTGTTTACACGACTCAATGAGTAAAACTGAAAAAAATTAGCAATAGGAAAGCTTGAATCCCCCTCATTAAATTTGGAGGCAAGAGGCAGGAGGCAAGAGGCAAGAAATGAAATACTAACTTTGCAGTTCAATTTGAATATAAGATCGAGCTTGTAGTTCAATTTGAACTACAACCTAGATTTTATATTAAGACCAAAGATAGTAATAAGATACTTTCTCCCTCATTAATTATTCTAGCTCATCAGATACTATCATCATCTTATTTATATTATAGGTTAGCAAGAATACATTCATACTGCGAGGAACAAAAACAATGAAAGGAACTAAGTACGGAATGTTCCCACCAAAACTGACTATTTCTTATAAAAAGTTCATTACCAGATTCAATAAACAAAAGGTGGAGTATGACAAAATAATTAGCTTAAAAGACAACCTCTTGATTAGTTGAAGCCTCTAACTAACCCAATTTACTACTTCTTTTCTAATCCCAAGACACCAAATTATAATAGCCTACCCTTTTCTAAACCTTCAAATCAAAAATTTTCCTTAGGCATCCACAAAATATCGTCAAATCCTACTCAATGGCACCACCAAGATATCTAGGCTTCTGTGATATGTCAAACCAGCAAGGGCAACTCAAGGAACACGTCGTTCATACAATAAGTAGACATTATTAGGAGGGAATATTGCTCAATATTAGGCATGATCTATATACTTGAGGTTTAGGATTATAGAACTACGTCAGCTGCGGGCAACTATTAACATGCCTTTAATTACCTCTTCTACTTTTAGGTTACATTCAATAACACATTTTATGACAAAGAAGTTTCTTCCCAGTTTACAAGTTAAACTGAATTATATGATAACATAGGTTGTATTCCTCGCAGCATTCATTTAACAGAGTAACTAATGTCATCTCAAGCTAATATCATGCCTAAACTTGTTTTCCCCCAACTTCCCAACTGATTAGATGGAAAAATGTCACTAATGGAGTAGAGGGGGTTTGAAAACACAAAACTTCCAATATTATCATCCTGAATTCAACCTTTTAAAAAACATAGACAAGGAGAGAAGGTTAGGAAAGGAAGCTGTAAGGACTGCCAAGACGAAATGGAATGGGGAGCAACGTCCAAAATGGTAGGAGGGAACATACGCACGGTGAGTGGTGGGTAGAGTGAGGACAAATCTAGACTTAAAAACCCAATACTCAAGTTTATGGGTCCTTTTACATTTATTTATATGCCTTATTAAGCCAAATTATATTCAATGTGAAACTTCTTCACGTACTCACACCTAACGTCCTCGCCTAAACGAAAACTTATTAAAAACCTCTGCCAAATCGTAAAACCCCCAAAATTTGGATGACATAGAAAGTTGGAATGTAGGATGGTTTAGGATAAATTCCAAAATCCAAACCATCCTAACGCACCTCACTCCATTAGCTTTTTGACATCCAATCAATGGTTGAATTGTTCAAACCATCCGCAACCAATCATTCCCAATCCAGCCTTCAAGGAAATATGCTGTGAAGATTTTTACATTTTTTTAAAAATGTGATGGTATTGCTCTCGCTCTCGCTCACGCTCACGCTCACGCAAGGTTGAGTTTCTTAGTAGAGGCAA